AATCAACATGTAAATGAAAAAAATTTTGAGATAAAAATGGGTAATTTAAATGCTCAACAAGAATTTGAAATAAATACACTGATTGACAAATATAAATCGAGTTTTGCGAAGGATAAATACGACATTGGAACAGTAAGAGACTATGAAGCACATATCGACCTTCTAACGGACAAATACTGTAGTAAAAGGCCCTATAGATGTTCAATGGAAGACAAAAAAGAGATAGAAGAGCAGGTGGCAAAATTACTTCAAAAAAAATCTTATAGAAGAATCATACAGCCCGTTTGCAGCACCTGTAACTTTAGCTTTTAAGAAAGAAGATAATAAAAAAAACAGATTATGTATTGATTTCAGAGATCTCAACAAAATAGTAACACCACAAGCTCAACCATTCCCGTTAATTGAAGACTTGGTAATAAAAACAAGAAACTGCAAGTACTTCTCAACATTAGATATTAACTCTGCATTTTGGTCCATCCCACTGCGAATTGAAGACAGAAAAAAAAACAGCTTTTGTTACACAAGAAGGCCACTTTCAATGGACGTGTCTACCCTTCGGTTTGAAATCGTCTCCCGCAATATTTCAAAGAATCCTGGGCAACATACTAAGAAAACATCAATTAACTGATTTTACTGTTAATTATATAGATAATATCCTGGTGTTTTCAAAGTCTTATAATGAACATATAAACCATTTATCACAATTACTGGAAGCAATAAAACAAGAAGGATTTCGACTAAAATTTACAAAATGTACATTTGCGTCGAATTCTGTAAAATATCTTGGACACATAATAGAAAATAATACAGTTCGACCAGTTAGAGATAATTTAATTTCAATAAGAGAATTCCCTACACCAAAAACTCTGAAAAATGTCAGACAATTTTTAGTTAAAATTAATTTCTACCATGAATACATACCCAAGAGCACAATTATATTAGAGCCCCTATATAATTTACTGAGGAAAAATCAAAAATTCATTTGGTCAACGGACTGTAAAAACTCATTTGAAGAAATAAAAGATTTACTTTGCTCACAACCCATCTTAGAAATTTATGATCAAGACTTACCAGTAAATATATACACAGATGCATCATTGGAAGGTATTGGAGCAGTGCTAAAACAAATTCAGCCAGACGGAAAAGAAAAGCCAGTAGCCTATTTTTCAAGAAAATTAAATGAATCCCAAAAAAAGAAAAAAGCAATATACTTAGAATGTCTGGCTATTAAAGAAGCAGTACGATATTGGCAATATTGGTTAATAGGGAAACCATTCACAGTATATTCAGATCACAAACCGTTGGAGAACATGAATGTTAAATCTAGACCTGATGAAGAATTGGGAGAACTAATGTATTATTTATCGCAGTATGACTTTCAGATAAAATATGCTCCAGGTAGAGAAAATTTGGAAGCAGATTGCTTAAGCAGAAACCCGGTACTGAATGAAAACGAAGATATTGATGAACAATTAAAAATAGTAAATTTGGTAAAATTAGAAGATATCATCACAGATCAAGAGAAAAATAAAGATATACATGATAACAAGAATAATTTGACATACAAAAACAACATATTTTATAAAAAAGTAAAAAAACATGAAAAAATAATACTGTCGGAAGATTTCAGTATAAAATTTATAAAAAATATTCATGAAAATATGTGTCACATAGGTGTAAGACAGATGCAAAAAGCAATTGGTACAAGATATACAGCAAAAAAATTAACAGCAAACATAAATAATATTTGTAAAACTTGCGATATATGTATAAAGAATAAAACAAGAGGACAAGCTAAATATGGCCTAGTGTCACACTTAGGAACCGCCACAAAACCATTTGAAATTATCTCCATAGACACAATTGGAGGCTTCGGAGGCTCGCGGTCGACGAAGAGATATTTATTTATTTATTTAAGCTTTATTTGCAAACATAAAAGAAATGTACAAAACGGCGGACTTAATGCCTAAAGGCATTCTCTACCAGTCTACCTTTGGTTTGTGCAGATATCTACATCTTCTAGTGGATCACTTCACTCGTTACGCATATATACTAACATCGAAGACACAGAATGCAAAGGACTTCATAAAACTGGTTAGTAATATAACGAACTTAAATGATATCGATATTATTCTCGCAGACCAGTACCCTGGAATAAATTCAAAGGAGCTTAAGACGTTTTTGAATGAAAAATCAATTGCGCTAGTTTTCACCGCAGTAAATTCACCATTTTCAAATGGCTTAAATGAGCGATTAAATCAAACGCTGGTCAACAAAATAAGATGCCAGATAAATGAAAAACCTAACACCATAGCATGGACAACAATTGCTCATAACTGTGTAAGTAAATACAACGACACGGAGCATACAGTCACCGGCTTCGCACCGAGATACCTACTAGATGGGACAGATGTTACAATTGTGCCAAAGGAATTAAAACAAGGCAAAAGAATAGAGGAATGGATGGAAGATAGGAAAAAAGCGTTACAAAATACAATAAAATCTCATAACTATAATAAAATGTTGATTGACAGAAAAAGAAAAGACTATAGTTTCAATAGGGGTGATTTGGTATATATTGAGAATGGACATAAATTAAATAGGAAAAAACTGGATGAGCTAAGGATTGGACCTTTTAAAATTGAAGAAAAAATATCATCTTCAATATATAGAATAGATACAGGACACAGAAAATCCGAGTCATATCTTTTTCACGTCACAAAGCTCATTCCAGTTCCTAAATAAAGAACCGAGTTAAGAACATGATATACAATGAGTATGATTTAGTTATAACTATTATAATAATTGTAAGTAAGTTTAGGTATTGTTACCGAAAATTTCGATGAAATTTTCTGCCCTGGGGAGGAGTTGTAAAGAAATTACATTTCTTTAAGTTTTGTTATTGTTTATTAAATTATTTTATGGTTAGTCGATAAAGCAGAAACAATTTACTTCGCTACTTGATAGATGGCGCTGTCAAGGTATTTGAGTGGACTATAGATAAAGCAGACGGTTTCGAAGATGGCGTCAGTAAAATGTTAAAATTGTAAAACACGTAAACAATCGGATAATAATAAAATAACTAATAAAGGGAATCGACAAGTGTAATAACTTTTGATGTCGTTTCTTTGTTTTTTCAGGTATGTTTAGTGATTATTGTAAGGTGTAGTTAAGTGAAAAATACAAATGTACAAATAATTTATACTAATAAAACTTTGTTTTTTCAGAGCAACACAAACGTTTATTTCGCCGATTCCCTATAAATTACACGAATTTTCTTATATATATATATATTCTGGGACTTTGGTTGTAATATCGTTTGTCGATGTACATATATAAAAATATCCTATATTCTATTCAGTGACTAAATCAATTTAATGTATTTATGCCAAATTTTATAACATTTCATCCAGCTATACAAGCGCGACTAAAGAAAAAGCAACAAACAACATACTTTGATATTTATAATATTAGTATACAATATTTATATCTATAAATAAAACTCAAAGCTGGGCAAACTCTTTTCTCATTTTTGACAAAAGAGACCTATGTAAAAATACCCAATTATAGGACACCTTCAGCCAATTGTAATTTTGGAAAGGTGTCAATGAAGGAGACATGTTGTTGGTCCTAAAACTTGAAGCATACTTGAAGTATACTGAACTTCTCACCAACAAAAATATAAAAAATTATATTGTAAAAAGTTAAACCTAAATAAAATCTTACGTTATAACTACGTATACTTTTAATTTTTAATGTGTACTTCATTTTTAAACTTTTATATTTGGTTCACCACTATTTATTATTCATTTTATTACTTAGCATTTTAGCTTTTATAAAATAATTGCGCCATTTATTTCACGTACACAGCTCGCGTACATATATGGTTAAGAAAAGGACTAATATCATTTCATTCCTCCTTTACCTAAATAACAATTCAGCTCATATGATTTATTTTTTAATCGTAAAATTACTTTCACACAAATGGCTCGCGTTCATACATGTTTAAGATAATGGATAATATTTAAGGTAATGGACAGCAAAATTTTCATTTCCCATTAATAATACATTAAAACTCATTCCGCCTTTTATCGCATCCGAACAACTTTAATAATTAAATCGGTTATTAGGTTTTCAAAACCAGGCTGGTTGTAAGTGGATATGCCAACCTCCAATAATTTTCTCTACCTACTACCGCGGGCAAAAAAATAGTAACACTTTTTAATTTAAATTTCGTGCGTAAAACCATTCGTCAAAATTTTTCCTACGTCCGTATGACTGTCGGTGACATCTGTGCCAAATATCACATCAAAGTAATCATTAGTGTTTAGTTGACGCTTGTCTTTTTGAAGTACAAAAAGCGCATTCGGCGATGTTTACAATGGGTGAAATTATTCAACAAATAAGTTTTATAAAATTTTGTGTGCGGAATCAAATTTCAAGTGCCGAAACCTTCAGAATGTTGCAAAAGGCCTTTGGTGATAATTGTGTCACGAGCAAGTGTTTTTGATTGGTGCAAATTATTAAAAGAGGGTCGAGAACGCGTTGGCGACGAACCACGTCCAGGACGGCCATTAACATCAACTGATGATCAACATGTCAATAAAATCAAGGAATTTGTGCTCGAGAATCGACGATTAACAGTCAGAGACCTTACTGATATCGTGGGAACATCGGAAGAATCAGTGAAAACCATTTTAAAAGATCATTTGGGCCTAAGAAAAAAGAATGCACGATTGGTTCCAAAATCACTCAATTTTCTTGAAAAACAGCGTCGCGTTGACGTCTGTAAAACAATGCTTTCCGACTACCAGGATGTCATGAAACGTATTATAACTGGCGACGAGTCTTGGATCTATGCTTACGACCCGGAAACAGACGATACGACGAGAAACGGAGACATCATTTTGACAGTTTTCTTCGATCATCGAGGTGTGGTGGTACACTCCGAATTCCTTCCGACCGGCCAAACTGTCAATAAGGAATACTATTTGAGTGTTATGCGTCGTGTGCGCGAAGCTATTCGTAAAAAGAAGCTGAAATTATGGGCCGACAACTCTTGGTTTTTGCACCACGATAATGTACCGTCGCATACTGCATTGATCCTTCGTGAGTTTTTCGCCAAAAATTCAACCAATGTCATTCCACAACCACAGTATTCGTCTGATTTAGCTTCGTGCGACTTCTGGCTGTTCAGCAACCTCAAGCGACCGCTCCGGCGAAAACGTTTTGAGTCAATTGAAGACATTAAACGTGAATCGCTACGCGCATTGAAGGCTATTCCGGAATTTGACTTTAACAACTGTTACGAGAATTAGAAAAAACGTTGGCATAAGTGTATTGTGGCCGGGGAGGATTACTTTGAGGGGGGGGGGCGAAATATATTTGGCAGAATAAAGAATTTTAAAATTATGAACAAAGTCTTACTATTTTTTTCCCCACAGTATTATGTCATACTTTTTAATCACATTTCTATTTATATTTTTCATTCATAATTAGGTATTCTGTAGCTTATCAATACTTACACAACTTTATATCATATAGTCTTTTTTTATATACCTAGTCTCGAGTAATATTTAGTTACATCATTGTCAGTCATGAAATTAGGCTCACATTATGGGCACAACAAAATGTAAATCAATTAATTGTATGCATAACTTAATAAGTTTCAAAAATCGTATTGAGCGAAGTAAATATTTTCATAATTCACACAAAAATGTACTATTTTCCCAGAAAATAATGAATTACAATAATTAAAAGCTTACGATTTAAAAGTTCAGACAATATTAAACCGAAAATAAGTTACTACATTGCATATTAAAATGAACAGAAAAAAGAAATAATTACGTCTAACTACCGTCGCCATAACTACTATAACAACAAATACTCGTATATATTGGAAACGTTTGAGATTACATCGAAATATGACTATGCCAAATTTTAAGATAACTGGTTGCGCGGAAAACCGTTCGTATTTTTAATTTTTTGAGGGTAGGCTTGCCAAGCATTCCTTTCCTTCACCTATCGTCCCTCCGACGCACCGGGGTGGTGGGGTGAGAGGGGAAGAAGATGATTCTAGAATGTCGCGTGATTCTCGCAAACCAATGAGAAGCGCGCCCCTCTTGAGACGCCTTGATAGAAGGACCAAAGTAATATGAGCACGCGCACGACCTTCGTGCGCTCTCTTCTCTTGCCTTTGCGCCGCTAGTTGCAACCACACCGCATGGGACGATCGCGTCCTAGAGAGCTCTTGCCCACGCGCACCGCTAGTTCTAACCGCACCAACCTGGGGCAATCGCGTTCCAGGAGTAACCGCCTCACCTAGTGTGAGATATCGTCGCGCACCGCTCTCTTCCATCGCACCACCGACCAGGACCGCATCCCTGGGGCCCCAGGAGATCCGCCAGAAGTAGCACCGCAGCGTCCAAGCCGCAACGAAGTCACACCCCGGTAAGTGTGCTTCTTTCCTATGACGCCTGCTTGAATATTTGTGTTTTATTAGTTAATCCGCCCCAATTTCATTTCTCGTAATGTGCTCAAGCAGGATTCCTTCATAAACCTTGGCAAGCAATAGGTTTTTTTTGGAAGAGCGAGTGCATTGTCAACAAACCGCATGCTACAGCCGCCATTTTCTTGAAGCAGAAGAAGCCATCCTCGTATAAAGTACATCTAATATAACATCTCGCGTAGTAGGGTCAAGGCTCTACCGGAGAATTGTGACTCGGCAACCTTAAGGCCCGCTGCTCAACCATAACTTATATATATATATATATATATATATATATATATATATATATATATATTATGTTATAATATTTTGAATACAAAGAAATAGTACATTAAAAGAATAGTTTTTTTTTAATTTACACAGAAGTCTAGAAATAGCTAGATTGTTGTAGATGTGTACATTTAAAGCAAAATGCTTCTAGAATACGACTTATTATTTATTGAAAACGCCTAGAGCAGGAATTATAAGTATTTAGTTAAATAGCGTAAATATTCGTATAATATACATAATTAGAAATTAAAGTTAAAATTTAAATAAATATTAAAATATTATGACTATAAGCAATAGTGTGGTATTTCAATCTCATAATAAACTATTCCCTACATGAAATCTGAAATTTACTTAAAAATTGTCATTTTAGCATTGTTTATAAAATAATATCTATTTCTCATCGCCTTATATATTGAATAAATTAATGTCAAACTTGAGGAAAGGTGGTATATCCAGGTATAATATGTGTAATTTTAAGCTACATGTATTTAACGAAACCGTAAATAGTTTTGAAAATCAATTAAATTTTATGTTTTTTTATATTTACGAGTACCACAAATTTAAGTGTTCACAGGAAACATTTTAAAAACTGTGCAACACTTGGATGTCGAAATTTCAAAATAAATGCGATAAATCGATAAAACTTGTTTCATTATAATAAACACATCTTGATAATTTTGCTAATGTGTATGACAGCCCTGAATGAAAGAAAAAACGTAAATATGAAAAAATGAGATAAGGTCAAAGGGCAAATAAATTCAGTGTGATTTACTATCTGATGCTTCATGATCACTCAGTATTAGCTTATAATAAGTAATAAAATAAATGAATAATGCAATTCATTACGAATTTACGACGGGAGAGTTAAGCGAACAGAAAATTGATTATCACTGAAAGGTTGGATTACAACATCAATATGGATCTTGTAACACAAAAGGAATTTTCATAGAAGACATAAATGAGATATTTTGTATCAGTTCAGCAATACATTATCTTGTCAAGTGTTACGTTATCAGTGCTGTTTTACACATTGAACAATTTCCTTACACGAAAGTTATCAGGGAAACAAATGTAATAATATACTTAGAGTAAAAAAAAATTAAAAAGTATGAACTCTGAAGATATTTATTAGCAAAGAATGATTATGAGAAAAGAATGTGCGTTTATTTTATATAATGACCAAAGACCAAAATTCAAGAAGCGGCAGAAAAACATCGTCCAAAAGAATATAAAAATTTTACAGAAAAAAAAAACTACGAAAAAATTAAGAGGTAATTTCGCACCTGTGTGATTTATATATTTATAATACCACTTTATTATTATTATTAAATTTTGATAATTTGAGATTTTTTATGTTTTTCTGATATTATATTTTTTTGAGTTATGTATTAAATGTTCTATTTTATTTAATATAAAAATTATTTTAACATATTTATCGAATACTTTACCATTCAAAACCTTTTTTAATAGTTTTATTACTGTATCTAATTAAAAATCATGACGCAATATTATAAATTAAGTTATGAAAGCACTTATTTATTTATTTATCCTTTTTTGTACACCACAATACAGAAACATCAATATAGTTACAACTAATTAAAACCTTTGCGTAGAGTAATGATGCAAATAAAAGTTACAAATAGAGGGGGGCATACAAAATAATAAAAAAATACAACAATACATACAAATAAAAGTAAGTGAAAGTTATATATAAAATATCATATAATAGATTAAATGAAAAGAGTAAGAGAAAGGTAAAGTAATTTATCTAATAGCGTTCTAAATAATACGATTTAACAAGAATTTTGAAAGAGTGAAGAGATTTAGCACGACGAATATGGAGAGGTAAGGAGTTCCACAATCGCACAGCGGTTATGGTGAAGGATTTCTTGAAAAAGGAAGAAGAGTGCAAAGGTGTAGAGAGATAAAGATTGATGGAGGATCGAAGGAACCGATTATGGGGAAGAGAAAGCTCCTGGAAACGGTTTTTTAAATAAAGAGGAGTAGAAGGATTAAACAGCACACTATACAACGCGGAGAGAATGTGAGTATTCCTGCGAAGGCGGATCGGGAGCCATTTGAGCTGTTTGCGAAATTCGGAGATATGATCATATTTGCGGAGCCCAAATATAAATCTAATGCATACATTTTGAATGCGCTCAAGCTTATTAAGCTGCTCCTCGGTAATGTCAAGATAGCAAATATCAGCATAGTCAAGGATAGGCAGAAGAAGAGACTGGGCGAGCGTAACTTTAGTTGCTGTGGGAAGGAAATTACGTAATCTACGTAAAGAGCTTAACGCAGCAAACATTTTTCTACTGACCTCATTAACCTGTGAGGTCCAAGACATACAGGAGTCAAGATACAACCCCTGGTTTTTAACCTTGTTACTGTAAGGGATTAGAGTGCAGTCTAGTATAATAGAGGGTAGGAGACCAGTCAATTTTACCAATTAATCTAGAACTACCGATGACAATGACCTGAGTTTTCTTAGGATTAATCGTTAAACCATAACATTTACTCCAATTCGAAATACAAGTCAGATCAGCGTTCATAGTGTCAACTGCTTTAGATAGATCTTCAAGAGAGGACTGAGTATAGATTACTTTTTATTACTTAGATATACACTTATGTGACATGTTTGTATTAAGGCACAGACGATTTTATATTCCCTCTAGTTAATTGACTTTTTATATTATATTTTTATTACTGTATCCTGAAAAAAAATGAAATAATATAATAGATTACATTTTACATACTTTTTACCATGTCAATAAATTTGTGATATTTAGTAGTTGTAACAAATCAGTAACAGATTCCGTTGTTTTTTTTTCGGTAGCAAATTTTATTTAAAATTTATACAATTTTGACAAAGATTATAAGCAATTTGACTAAAATTATAACTTAAGTTTTTCTTTTATTTCCTAAGAGAATTAAAACTTATAATATATTAACCTACTTAAAATTAAAGTTGATATTTTGAATGTTCAAATAAATTAATATTTTGTGTGGTGTAGTGAATTTTGTAAATATTATGTTTCTAACAATCTTATTTAAAAAAAGAAATTAAGTAAGATTGTTATTTCAGAAAAATAACAATCTTAGTATTTTTTAATAAACTAATGCGTTTTCCGATCTATGTGAAAGTCATATAACTATTAACAATCTAGCTATTTCTAGACTTCTGTGTAAATTAAAAAAAAACTATTCTTTTAATGTACTATTTCTTTGTATTCAAAATATTATAACATAATATATATATATATATATATATATATATATATATATATATATATATATATATATATATATATATATTATGTTTCACAAACAAGTTTTATCGATTTATCGCGTTTATTTTGCAATTTCAATATATAAGGCGATGAGAAATAGATATTATTTTATAAACAATGCTAAAATGACAAGTTTTAAGTAAATTTCAGATTTCATGTAGGGAATAGTTTATTATGAGATTGAAATACCACACTATTGCTTATAGTCATAATATTTTAATATTTATTTAAATTTTAACTTTAATTT